ACACTTTCTTCTTCCAACTCTTCCTGAAAGAGGCTCATGGATGAATAATTAATCTAAAATCGTTCATTAGCTTCCATACATTCAAATGAAGGAATAAACTTTCAACTAGGGTTTGATTTGTTGGTACAATATCTGGCTTCGAAAACAATTTACAAAAGAATCCATGTTCATTTAAAATATATGGTACAAGACTATTGCAATCAATGATTAAAAAAAAAAATTGTGCCCAACATTGATAACACATGTCTTTTCCATCCTAAGGCAATTGAAATAATATTACACTAATTTTGAGAATGCTTAAGAGTGCAAATAATTTAGGCATGGAATTTTAAGATCATCTATACTTTCTAACAAAAATAAAATCATCCACCCATGAGATTTGTCTTCACATGGATTCAATATATCTTTGTACATAGACTTCAATATATATATATATATATATATATATACCTTCAATAAAATATGGACTCTCATACAAGGATTATTACTTTGGAAAGTATGGCTTGAATTAAATAATAAAATATTCAATAATAACAAATGGCCAATAGACTATGTCCTTAACAAGATTTGGTAGGATTTACTAGACTATGGAAAATTAGCATGGACTAAAGCCCTTGTAATTATGCTAGTAAATGCTCTTACATGCCAATACAAAAGCTTTGATATCAGTAGAAGCAATATCATCATTTGTACCGATAACAATAGAACCATTAGATGACATGCACTTGAGTAAAAAATAGATAATTTAGTTCTCAATAAAATAGATGATAATATTATCTTTGAGTTGATTTAAGTTGTGTCTAGATATGATTCATGAGTTGTAATCAATTTTGTATTGTATATTGACTCTCTTTGTAATGAAATTCCTTTCAATTGTATCAAAAAAACAAAAAAAAAAATAGTTTCATTGCTAAAAATAATATATATATAAAGAAATTATAGAGCGATTTTATTGTTATTTTTTAATATTTTATTTATCATATATTTTCTAAAGAAAAATAAATATAAATCTAAGTAATTTTTTTAGATTCATAAATTAAGACCAAATTACCTTCTTATATTGTAAACATCTCTAAAAAAATGTAGTATTACCTACAAAGCAATCTAGAAGGCTATGACCATAAAACAAAGCATTTTGATTATTAAGTTAGCTTTAATGAAAGTACATATAACCATTTAGTAAAATTCATTATTAAAGCCTTGAAAGTCTTTGGCTTTGGATCTTAAGATAAAAAAATAAAAAAATATTATTTAAATGAATTAAGATAATAGTTAATGTAAATATAACTTTAAGAAAGATGGTATCAAAAATATCTCATTGCCTTATATATCTTTATTATTATTAGAAAAGTCTTAAATTTAAGCTTATATTTGACATAATATATGTGTTCTATTGTATTAATAAGAAAAATGCTTAAAACTCTCATACTTGATATGTCCAATTTAAGTTAGTTTTTCCAATAAATAATCATATAAATATAACAAATAATAAGAAAAGTCATCTAATAATAAAAAAGAAAAAAATAGATCAAATTTGCAACAAGATCTAAAGTTTGAAAAAGAACAAGCAATGCACGCAAAATTTAAATTAACAATCTTAATCATAAACAATGTAAGAACTACTATTCTATCTTAAATCAACTTTTGTAGTAGAAAAAAATCCCATAATTTTCAATAGATAAGATCATTTGAGACATTATCTTAATTCATTTAAATAATATTTTTTTATTAGATGACTTAAAGTATGTATAAAAAAATATTATTAGAAATTGTACATAAAAATAAAATCATGATTTAGAATTACACCTCTATAAAATGTTTGTATTTCTTATTCTACTTTGAAACCTTCAAAGATGTAGCCTAAAGCTTAAGTGTAAAGTAAAGCCAAATGTAAAAATCTTCCACTCAAGAAAACAGTTGGTTTCTCCTATTTCAAATATAAATATAAAATGAGTAAGAAAGAGAGAGGCGAGTGTACACAGAGCAAGCCCAATATATAAGGCTTTTCCCACAATACGTCCTAGAAACTCCAGCATTGGCAATCCACGGCCAACAGTTCCAGCAGCAGCGTGACGACAAAGCAAGCCTTCTGTCCCTAATTGAACAAAAAGACCGTATCTGCATAGAGAAAGAGAGAGGCGAGTGTACACAGAACAAACGGACACCCACGTGAAAGTTGTCCCTTGCCAGCATACTTACTGCTGCCAGAAAACACACATGTGGACCGGGTGGACCCGGGCCGGGCCCGGTCGACCCGCAACTCCAGTCCGACCCGACCAGGCCCTACTCGAAACCCCCGCCCTACTCGTACGGATATTTCGTATTATATGGTCTAAATACCATGTATTGATCATGGACGGCTCGATTGTACGATCAGGGTGTAGGATCATTTATGGAGAATCTGGACCGTGAGATTGAGAGTTATCGTCGCCGTTGAGGGTGCCATCTCGGAATGTGAATTGACGGAGGAGATGTGCTCTGGAACGTGCTCTGGAACGTGCTCTTCAACTGTTCCCGGCTGCAAAATGGACCAGGACTGGATGCCGCGTGCCACGTGTCTGGACGTGGTTGGTTTCACCCCTGTTACTTCCTAGCTGGACCTGTTGCATTTGCAAGGCGCTTTTTTTCAAATTCTTGCTTCTGTGTTGCACTTTCCTCTGTTGAGTATATGGAAATTGAATCGGGAAAGCATATTTTTGTGAATATAGTTTGATTCTGTTTGTGTGGATTTACGTGGTCTGCGAATGAAGGTTTGATACCCACGTGCAAGCCTTTCTGCATAAAGAAGAAAACGTTGGGCATTTCTTCTTTTGAAGTGAAGACAGGTTTTTTAACAAAAGATCCAAATGAGTCAGTGTTTTATATTCATAAATCGATGTAGTTTTGTTTACTGATGTTTGAATTGGGTGCTTTTAGCCAATTTTACTCAAAAGTCAAGTTTGCACTGTATAATGAATGTAGTTATTTTTCTGTAATCTTGAATCGGAGCAAAAGTTTGAACTTTGAAAATAATTGGAGAAACCCAGTATGTTGAACTTTTTATTCTACTCTCTTACATCAAGGTTTCTCTCTTTACGTAGATGTCAGTTAATTTCTGCACTGAAAATGATTGGACTTTTTGTTAACTTGAATAAGAAATGTGAATGTTACTAGATTCTCGTGTTACAATTGAGTCCACAAGTTGATTCAATTCAATTGAACTCACGAGTTGATTCAAATATTAAATTGAAGTGAATCAAATCGTGGGTCCAACTGTAATACAAGAATCAATAACTTACTACATTATAATGCCAGCAATTAAAAAAAATATCTATTTTTCTTTTGATTGGTGATGTACGTACTTTCGTTTACAAGTACATTTCTCTGAGTGTTCATTTTAAGAATACACGCACGTATATATATAAACCAATAATCCAATTCCAACTTTGTGGTTGCAACTAATGTTACAAAAGGTGCATAAGTTACATTGAACAATTATTTTATGCTTTCAAATTGAAAAAACCTCTGAAATGCAGAATAAAATGATTATTTTTTTGAAAACCACGTCAAAATACTAAGATATAAATGAAGAAATAAATAAACAAATTATACGAAAAAAAGGTAAAGCGAAAGTAAGAAAAAAAGGAAAAGGTAGGGGCTTCGAAGCCCAGAGCAGTAGCATTCCTCTGATTTGTCAACTAGCTGCCCGTGCTGTCCCTGTGCTGTTTTGCCCGATCGTTGACAATCTTTGTACACTGCTCACGTGAGTCTCTGCCATACTCTATAAATAACATCACCTCTGTCTCTGCTAGTTCCATGTATAGACCACATGGATCATGGCTTTCTTTGTTTTCATACCTTCTCTGTATCCTACAAGCTCTGAATACCAACCGTATCAACTACCATATGGAACCCAGGAAGCCACGTTGCATTGCTTTTGCTTCTGTTGTGAAGCTTTTATGTTTCATTAATCACTTGAACTCTTCTACTTTCCCACTCTATACTCTCTGATTCTGGATTTTGGAGTTGTTCATGTTTCCCAGTGAGTACCCATTTAGGGTGTTTATCAAAACAGTACTTAGAGCAATATGTTTATTGATTTATTGATATATTCACTAAGGAAATTAACAAGTGACAATAATAGTGATGACAATAGCAAAAGTTTGTTGGGTTGTTACTGTAGCTACATCTACACAAGTGTGTGCCTGTGTGCATGTGTGTGTGTAGGTGTATGTGTTGTTGTTTTTTGTTTTTTTATAATTTTCAAGATGGAGCAAACAAAAATGGGGCCATCTATACTTAAGAATGATAGAATGAATCACTCCGTATTATAATTAATACAAGCATTGGGAAAAGCATCCCATCGACAACAGAAAACCTCGTGATCGTTCTAAAGTGTCAAAAAAAAAAGGGGGGGGAAAGAAAGAAAAACAGGACAGACACACAGGAATATCCACGCCGTCGATTTCTCAAATCGTAAGCGGCGATTTGATTTGGTTTCATCCTCACTCACACTTCCACACCAGACAAACACATCAACAAAGATGGATGGATGAATAAATCGGGGGCCATAAGTGGACGGAGACGAGGGATTTAGACGAATGAAAATAAAATAGATGAAAAATCTAACATATATGGATGAGCGAGGCGCCATCCACATAAAAATAACGGATGGATGATGAAGGAGACGACGAGTCCCATGAAACGGTGGAACCAACGTTGACATTGTGACCCTCGTGGTCATCGTCCTCCTGCAACGTTCGTTTGGACGAAACCACGACGGAAGTGAAGACGAAGACAACGAAGAAGACGACGACGACGACGAGGAGGAGGGGGAGGAGGAATGCTCCGCCACGGCGCGTGCTGAGCTTGTGTGCAGTGCGGCTATGGAGGTCGCGGCGACAATGCAAAGGGGGGAATGAAATACAGCCAGCCCGGGACGAGGGGGCGGAGGAGGAGGGGCCTACGTCGTCGTCGTCGACAGAGGGAAGCGGAAAGACGGGTCGCTAGGGAATACCCATGCAAACAACGTGCGCTTTCTGGTCCCTCCGTCATTCTCCTTGTCTCTCTCCTTGTCCTTGAGCTCCCGTCCAACACAAACCTCATTCACATGTGCTTGCGTTGATAATGAAGATGCACCAACTAACCAGGCCAAGCCCAGAGTAGTAGCACTTTAGTTTTTACAAAGGCGCGGAGACTTCCTTTCTTCGCTCGTGTCGACAGGGGTTGGTTGCTGGGCACCGTGGGGTAGCGAGTGTCAGTCTATTGCGATTGCGCAAGCTGCGATCTGAGATTGAGTTTTGGGCGCATGGGTGAGGGCAGTGTGGAAGCGTCGAGACAAAAAGCGAGATGCTAAGAATAGTCTGCAATATGTTTTGTATCCACCCACTTTTCTCCCCTCCGATCACGTCACTTTCCCAATCTATATTGTCTCAGGGTGCCTGGTGTTGGCTGTTCGTTTACACACCTCGCGGTTTGATTCTTTGTTCTGGTTAAGTTGCGGCTTGGTGTTTCGGCAGGGAGTTTGGAGGTTAGCGAGAGAGGTGTGTGTGTGCTTGTGTTGGAGACGGTGGTGTTGCTCCCCCACATTCATGACGCGGTGTTGTGGGGCGGTAGCGTTGAGCCGGAGCGTGGACGGTGAGGGGTGAGTGCCAGGGGACGAGGCGTGAGATCCTCGTAGGGTTGGGTTGGGTTGGGTTGTGGAGAGTGGAGGGTTGGAAGTGAGAGTGCCGGGGGACCATGGCTAGGGATGCTGTCGCAGTTGACTTCATGGGGATAGGGGAACGCAGGGGTGGTGTTAGTTATGACGACAACGAGGAGAGAGTGCGTCTCGTGAGGCCTGTTCCCACTGTGCCAGAGGATCGCCAGGGGCAGTCGAGGACATGGCCCGGTGCTGAAGAATGGCGGAACCCCGGAGACAGAGATGCCAGTCCCTTCACTCAAAGGCTTCCTGGTGATTCTCCGCTTACTCTCTTGTTACTCTTGGGGTTTCTGTGATTTTGGAACGACGCATTTAGTCACGATGTTTCTAGGTTAGGGTACATTCAGAGGATGTAGTACTGCTTCAAGAGAGAAGACGAGGGTAAGCCTAGGCTACAAAATTGTTGGGAAAGTGTACAGGGATGCTGTTTTGGGTTCTCCATCGAGCGTTCCTGTCGCTCAAAGTTACGACGATTATTGTTGGTGGAATCGAGAGTTTATTAAAGGTGGCCTTGGAAATTTTGGGTTGTCTCATAGGCTATAATGCTCTGTTAAAATTTATATTCTATGCTATTGCGATTCTATTGGCTGTGAGCAGTTTTCCTCTGAGCACTCCGATCATCTAATAAGCGATGCTCTTGAGTGGAAGCGGGGGAGAAGAGGGTTATAGCTTGTCTAGAACTCCGACATAGATCATGGGAGAAGGTGTACTATGCATTTAATTCCGCAACGGGGGTTATGTCTTGTTTCGTCTATGGGTCCTATGAGCCGCTGGCTGTTATGAAGCGCATTAAGAGCATGGCTTTGAAGAAATATTAGACGCGTTTTCGCTCATTTGTGGAATCGGCAGCCTTGGAACGCGTGGTTTGAATTGACAACGAATCATTGCACACCATTTACTGAACTTGTTTCTTCTTGTGATCAGCCTTACATCGGAGTCCCTGGAGCCGACTGCCTATTGCATCCAGATTTCAGTCAGACGAGGAAAACTCAAGCAAAGCTATGGTCTCGCCCAAACGGGAAAAAGATTTGAAAGAAGGCCTACCGACTGGACATCAGCAATCTTTCTCGGCGTGGGACAACTCGACCCCAGGAAACCCGTCTTATCATCCTGTAAGTCGGTGTTATATCTCCTTCAACTTGTAGTGGAATCGTCGTAAGTGAGACACCACGTAAATCAATGGTGCAATGGAAGGACTATGCAGTGCGAGGCTTAACCTTAAAGCGTTCGAGTATCTGAAAGCTTTATTTTGACTGGACAGAATTTCTGACCATTATAATGGTCAGACCCTTTCTATTTTTTATTTTTTTTGCTTGTAAATTTAGTAATTTTGAATGGATTTGTTTTTCACAAGTCAGATTATGATTATTGAAAAGTACTTTGTTCGTGTGTTATCTCTTTTATCTGAAAAATGATCTGAATATTTGGAGTAGAAGATTTCGTTAGTCATAATTTTCAGATCTTAGAAGCCTGGTCAGACCCCTAGGACGCTAAAGCTAAAAAATTCTTCCCAGGTCCAGTGTTTTCAGAGATCACCGTTTTTCTCCCTTAAAACGTCTGACTCACGTCAAGAGCTTGTCTTATTCTATGTGATGGCAGACGGGTTCCTCAAGCCGATACGAAGAGTTTGTTCGGATGCAGCAGCATTTGCAAGCTCGAAAGGCAGCGGTCATGCACGCTGACCATCAACAGGCGCCACGGTGTGTGCAGAACGCAGGTGCCCGAACTTCGCCGTTCAGAGATGAAGCTCAGCGAGGTGCTCAACCATCGGATCGCTTAGGTCCAGAGCACCTCACAACGCAGCCTCACGCACCCTCAAACCAAAGTGGACTGGGGAGTCCAGGACCATTTCATGGCAGGGGGTCCGGAACTGCGTTTACCGGCAGAAGAATCCCATTCCAAGCCGGAAACCTATCGAACCATGTAGTGAGGTATTCATTGGCAAGATGCAGTTTCCATTGTCTTCCTTTTCCTGGTGTCTGGTTTTACTCTTTTAACGACACCCTATCTAATAGTGACGTGTTCTTGTCTCTTGGATGTCACAGGCGTGGTGGAACTGGCGCGAAGCCTCGCACAGCACAGCTCACCATTTTTTATGCAGGCATGGTGAACGTCTATGATGACGTGCCTTTTGATAAGGTGAGCTGTGCGTATTATTTGATTTGAATGTGTTCCTGTGGTATGCTTGGTTTCTTTGTGAGAAAAAGGAAATAGTTTCTCTTTCTGGCTCATTAAACGCTTCGGAATCTATGATTGCAGGCTCAAGCTATCATGCTTTTAGCTGGCAGTGGAAGCACATGGTCTTCCAACAATATGGGCCATCGTGGAAGTGGTCCTGCACGTCCATTTTCTGCTCCCACGGCAGTGCCTCAGCCCACACCGTCTACACCTGGATCACCTGCCCCACAAGGTTCCACCACTTCGGCCGCCGGATCGTTACGGCCTGTCATACCAGGAGTGATGTTTTCGAGTGTGCGACAACCACCTGTAGCTAATGGTATAATTGCTCAGTCTTCTTATGAACAGTTTCTGTTTTCGATGAATTAGAAACCTTGGTCTTTTCATGAACGGTATTTAATTGGTTGTTTTTTGTGATGTGTAGTTGAGCTGCCTCAGGCAAGGAAGGCTTCACTCGCTCGATTTCTTGAGAAAAGAAAAGACAGGTAATTTGGAATAAGGCTAACCTCTGGCCTCCAAAGAAGGAATTGGAATTGAATGCTATGTTCTTGATGTTCATGAAGATTAACATATCTGATAAGGGTGTCACGTCTTTCTTATTCAGAGTACGCAAAGTTCCTGTCAAGGCGGAAGGAGAAACATCTCCCTCTCGTGACAAATCTCCGACTCCCTCATGTGGCAATGCTCCCTCAAGGTCGTCTTCACCCTGTCCAGTGGGTCAGGAACGTGGGTCATCTCCAGCCTGTGGCCAAGGTCATCAGCCCGGTGCATCCAGTTGTAGTGAGCCAAACTCTCCAACTATACCTTCACAAACACCTCCCACAGAAAGTGCGTCTGAAGAGAAATCCAGCATTGGAACGCCGAAAAGAAAAGACGTCGAAATGGAACAAGAAAGTCACAAGCGAGCTCGGATCGGGAGATCACCTCCCAGAGTCGCTGGTAGAAGCACAAATGATGTCATGGAACAGCATGAATCGTGACTATGATAGTCAAGTTGTGCTATTTAATCTTGCAGTTAAGGTAATTTTCTCAAGGACATCATTTTTTGGCTAGGCTACAAGAGCCACAGGAACGTACTTGTAAATACCTTAAGCTGAGTCACTGGACCGTGACGCTCTATATCAGCTGAGAAGGACGATGAAAGTCAGTAGTAATCTGGAGGTAGAGCTGGTGCTTTAGTGAAATTTTACGCCCGGCCACGTCAGTTACACTGTCCTGACGTTCGGGGATCTGTTCTAAGTTATGAGGTCGATTAGAGAATTCTCGATTGAATTGTAAAGGAATCGTCACAGCATAAAGCATTACAGGATCAGTTTTGTTTTCAAGTATGAATTCAATCGATCAGATGATCAGCGACTGATAAGTCCAATGAACGGGTTGAATGGGCACCTACTTCGAAAACGCTCGAATGGGATTGACGAATTACTGGCTATGACTTGAAGCTACAGCGTAACTGAGATTATTTCAATGATATCGAACCTTATTTGGTTGGATATTATAATATTGGTTATTGTCTCGATTTCTTTGAAGACTGCCCAATTTCTGCTTAAGTCCGAATATTTATTCTGCCCAAATAACATCGCATTTCCGTCAGTATGGCCGATAATTCGAGGTAGAGACAATTAGATAACCCACCCCTAGTATGTGGAACGAAATAGCCAGCCTTGCACTCCGGTATGACGAAAGCTGGGCACTGGACTTTCCGATCTGTCGATCGATTACCACTATGGTAAGGCCACTTCCATTCCGAAATCCTTCTCGAAACCCTCACATTTGACACCCTCTTCCGCTTGAACACTTCGTCAGCATCAAATATACCAGCGTAAAACCAAGGTTGACCCCAGAAAGTTACGAAGGTCGGAGACGACGACGACAGAAGTCCTACTTTACTATACGCTTTACGGTCACTTGATCACTGAACGACAAGGAGCCAGATTCCCGCACACATGCAGCGTGGAGCGAGTTCTGAACCTAACATGTGCTTCCACTGTTCATCCCCTTTTCATATCTAATCATTTTTTGTCATGAAAATAATGGCTTCTTCCTGCGAGCGCGTATCTCTTGCCCATCACCACCCAGAAACAAAGTCTTGGCAATGGGACTTCAACTGGTTGACTAGGTGTTGTGCACAGTGGGAGTGACCTGCCAGCTCTAAATCTAGGCTTCGAAATAGACCTCGCTGTTTAATAGCGTGAACGGAAAAGGTGCAGCTGTCCTTGAGAATGAACCACATGGCGCAAAGTGATGGGATGGCCTCTGAGATTATCGTGTGGAACAATCTTCCACATGGTACAGGTACGTTTCCTGTGCACTGTGCTATCGTTGATAGAGTGTGGGATTGATGAATGTATTGGGGAGCTTCAACGGACAGTTCGAGAGATTCTATCCGACATGATGTCTGGGATTTAAAAAGTCGTTCACGGATTGTCACTTCCCTTCTATCAAGGTGAACGATTTCATTGTTCAGCTCCTGACGCTAGGAAAGAAAAAACACAATAACATTCATTCCACTAAGCTGAGAATAACGTGCCATCGTGATAGATCAAATATGGGTGAGCCTGTTACTGATTACTGTGTCCCAGCCTTGAATAATACTGAACATCTAAACGCTCGTACACAATACATCTTTAGATTCTAATCATTGTGTTGGATTCTTCGTGGAAGTCTGGTAAAGTCAACAACCACAGACAAGCTAGAAAAAAACTAATGTTGTACACACATGTCCCGGCGGTGGCGACTGTTGATTTCGTAGCCTCCATCAGAACGTGGTTGCTCCCGATAACACTTCTTTTGCTTCGGGAAAAATCTCCCAACAAACTGCCGCTCGAAGAATATTCCCTTTCAACTGCATGGCCATTTCCGTGCCTATGAGCCCTGGCATAGGGGCACCAGCAGCTACGGAGCACTGCATACAAACCCGTAGTCGACGGCATTTCAAGGCTCCTATATAGGCAAAACATGTGGACCCGGTTTCTGCGGGGATCATTTTTGTCTTTTCTCCTGTCTCGAGCGAATACCCCTCAGTGTGCAGAAAACAAGCAATACTGTAATTAGTCCCCACAACCGAGAAAATGGGACCTTAGAACATCCACAGTGACGGACATAACGTAGGATGCTCTAAAATAAGCAACGTGATTGTGCAGGATTTGCAAGCAAATACATTGGGTCAAATCTCAAGGGAACACTAAAAATTCCGGAGTGTGATCTTAACTTCAAGAGCGCCGATGGTGACTTGTTTTCTGCGGTTGTTGCATCGCAAAGCACCCTTCACTAGATCACGTTTGCTGGTTATGCTTCCAGCGGCGCCGTCATCCGGCGCAGACACAACATATTCCTTGGATCAGGCTGCAAATTCGCATATCTAGACAACATGACGGTGCAGTTCCAGCGCATCGTTCCGACTGAAATCCATGGATTAAGCTGGCGGTGAGGATCAGCCCCAGCTTGATCACAGCACACGAGACCAGTGTAAGTGTGACTTCATGGATGGATCCACGAAGAAGACTTGCACAAATCTTCAGCTTGTGTTGCTTCTGTTGTGGACATGGATCTTCATTCTTTTTACCAAACATCGACCAACTAAGTGGACCCATGTGAGGAAAACCCTCAGTTGGGTGCTGGTTTTTGCTTTCTAGATGCCGTTGTGTGAGGCGTTGAAGTGAGAAACATGGCCCACGATGCAATTGTCTGAATGTGGAGATTTGGGAGGAAATTGTTGAAATACTGGACCAAGTTATGCTTGAGGAAGATAGGATTTCCATAGAAGTTCTGTGTTGTGTGTTTGATTCTGTTTGGTATTGAAAAGGTGGGGATATATACATGCATGAAACTTACTTTTCTAATTCTTTTTTTTATATAGTTGGTTCAGAATGTTTAAAATCGTTTGGTACGGATTTGAATTTTAAGTTTGAACAATTTAAAATTTATTTATTTATTTATTAATATGGATAAGTAGATTATTGTTGGTACATGTTTCATTAACAATTACAAATCTTGATTTTTTGAAATGTAATTATGACATGTATATTTGTGTTATATTAAATTTGATTAAATTTATAACTTATTCATTTTGTGTAATAAATTTAGAATATTTATTTTTTAAAAAATTATATATTTATTTTATAAACTATGTGATTATAATCTAATTATAATTTTTTTTTATTGATTTTAAGAATCTTGACTATTTCTTAACAATATGCAATGTTCTTTCTTTTATTTAATATTATTTATTGCAAAAATAATTATGAAAAGTTCTTAATCATTAGAAATGGCACATTGAAGGCATAATAGGAACCATTCTTACTAAGACCCTATAATCTATGGTGCTTGCTTCTATCATGGTGTGACCATATGGCCTTAACTCAACCAATCATGCAGCCTTGTAAATCATGTGACATTTGTTAATAATCATTTTTAATTACTAAAGTTTAATAGTAATTAAAGGTTATGAATTATGCACTATAGAACATAGTTAGTTTCCAAAATTTTAATTAATTATTGGAGATTATTGATTTTTGGAAGATGAATTATTGAAGAGTACATTATATATCTTGAATTTTTGCCAAGCTTGTTATAACATGCTTTTGTCACAATTTGTATCTAATACTATATTTTATCAAAGTAATAAGTAATATTTTAGATATATTCTTTTAAAAATATATATATATATATATATATATAATCAACAATGCTTAATTCTTAAGAAATTAAAGCATTTAAATCTTGAAATTCTAAATTCAACAATTTGTATTAACTCTATGTTTATTAATAAAATTTATTTAAGTATGACAATAAAATTTCTTAATGCTAAGATTAAGATTAATTTTCATAAGCTTTACAATATTTTTTATTACTTTGATTCAAGAAAATAATACTTTTATTTTTAAATAGTGTTTATATGTTTAAAAGGATTTACAAGACAAGTACTTTAAATTTAATAGGTTCTCTTAACAATAAGACATTTCAGATTCAACACATCTTTAAAACTTTTTTTAAAGATTGTTTTTGGAGGCCTCAAATATTAAAAATAGGAAAAAAATGATAAAATCTTGTAACATGTTATTTAAAAATATTCTTTGTTATTAGCTACGTTTTTTTTTTTTTTTTTTTTAATTCATGCCTATTCCAAATTAATCATGGTTGGATTTTTTGTTAAGTTTAATTTAAAATATTTTATTAAGTTTTTTACATTAATTTTTAGTAATGGTGGATTATATATATATATATATATATATATTCATCTTTTTCAACTACATTTTCAACTAACAAGATTAAGGAAAAGTTCAATTAGATACTAAATATGCATAAAACTACTGTACCGTACTACTTTTGGACCCAGAACTGATCACTTAAATCGCGTCACAATGTTGGATTTGAAAGTTATGAGGGACGCATTACGACAGTGCTTTTCGGAAAGAAGCATGCTATAAAACCTATCACAAGTAATTGTACTACAAATGTGGCACCGTTGCATGAGATGGGTAGTGACGATGGTGATGCAAAACTGGTGGTGAAACAATAGCATGGAGCAACTGGCTCCGTGCCACAGCAAGTGTGGGTTTCCTTTACACTGTTGAGGTCAAAATGCTCAACAGTTTGGAGGAGTGACTCTCAGCACTGTTCACCTAGGTCTCTCTTTTTTGTGTCCTTAAGATTCTAAAGTCTAAATGCCAATTTCACAGAAAACCTGGAATTGACTCCGACCTTAGCAGTCAAACAAATTAACATGTGCACCCACGTCCACACAAGCTCGGTGGTCACCACGTGCTATAAGGATTTTCTGACAGATATTAACAATTCTTTAAAAACAAAATGTAGGACATACATGAACAGGCTGTAGGTGTCAGAAAGAGTGCTCATGCATCCGTGAGGTGGCACTGAATTTGTCTCGAGGCAAAGTTCCAACTCTATCGGTTCACTGCTCAAGGGACTATTGGGTGGGTCTGACCTTGAGCTCCATCGCCACCAGCTGGGGTTCAACCGGAGGGAGGTATGTACAGCTGTGTCTGTCGTGTCTGTTGCTTAGGTAGGCAAGGGGTGGAGCTACGACATTGTTAATAGACTTGAAAACAATGCGTAGGCAACAAAAATAACTCATCATGTACAGAGCAAAACATTATACATGCTCATTCCATGGTTTCTCGAGAGGTGGGTTCACTGCTACTTGCCGACGCACTACTGGCGTGCCCTGGATCACCGGGAAAGGGTGAGTTCCTCTGATTCCTTGTTGCTGATGGAGATAGAGACAGCGCTATTGCTTTCCCCTTGGAATCTGAGGGACATGGCGAATTTTCACGACTTGTTCTCAACTCGTCATATCTCGCCAAGTTTTCATTTCTAGGATCATTGTAGGGTCCTTTGCGTACCCTACTAGGAAAACAACACAAGTTCAGCAGATTGTTTGTCCTCCGCTTTCAAATCATAAAATTTTCAAAACCAAAACCAACAATCAATGGAATTGCACCTGTGGAGTCAATAGAATTAATTGTACCTGTCTTTTCTCTTATCCAAAAATCGGGCTAAAGACGCTTTTCGTGCCTGAGGCAGCTCTACTGCTCGCGGTCCAGAGACAGTACAGATCAGAAAAGGAGTGAAGTTCATCAATGCCTCATTCACTTTTGCCTCGCAATCGTTCAACAGAACTGATCATACAACCATCACAAGACCAAGAATGCGAAAAAGAAAAAACAAAAAACAAAAAACAAAAAACAAAAACAAAAACAAAAAAAACAAAAATGGGAGCTTTTCAGGACCAAGAAGTGTTACCAATAAAACCCGTCTCTGCAGTCGGCACTTGTCGGTTGGTGGCTTTTGGTACACCTGATAGTGCCGTCGTCCCAGCATAACCAGAGATCATTTGTGGGCCAGGAGACCGAGTCCTGAAAGGAGGCTGGTTTATCGAGGCAGGAAATGGATGTCCCGGCGCACCAGGCAAGTTCATATGATTGGGAGAAGACCATGCGCTTCTAGTCCCAGCTAAAAGCATAATAGCCTGAGCCTGAGCTAAGATATTAACAATTCCAAAATCAATTAATCAAAAGAATAAACACAATAACATCACGGCTGGTATCCTACTACTACATTCACATACGTCAACACGAGCGTATAAGCGTATGAGCAAAGATCAGGAGTAACAGCAGCAACTGCGAACCAATGTCACCTTCTCAATAGGTACAGCGTCGTAGACGTTGACCATGCCTGCGTAAAAGATGCTAAGCTGAGCTGATTCAATGAGCTTTCCAGTTCCAGGTGGTCTGTAACACCCAACGGACAGAATGTGGTTATTGCTTTGTAAGTGATAATTGCACTAGCCACAGAAACACGACTATAAAAGCAATGCCAGCGAAGTTAACAGCAAACAGACATGGATTTGTTGTAAAAACAATAGAGGAAGTACCTTGAAAATGCATGAGCAGTAGCTTGTTGATGTTGCAGTTGCGGCAGACTCTCATTTTCGACTCTACTGTTGCCTCTCATCCTGCTGAAAAATGGTGCGAGACCCACAAACCGTGCGCTGTTACTTGAAGGGTGCTGCTGCGGCAGCGAAGAGGGCTCTGAAGCTGAAGGATCTGATCGGTGAGCACTCAGCTGTGCGTTGCCAATATGTGGTGCCGTTCGTACATTGCTTTTGAATGACTGTAAGAGATCAATATGCATTGATGTCGCCGTCCCAGCCTGCTGAACGAGCGCAAAGTCTTCATATGGGTTCCGCGAATTCATCTGCTTGTAAGAATCCCCAAGGTGCAACTTAGTCGTTGTGATGCAAGATGATACAAGATTGGACACGGAATGCAAAGCAAAGAAATCTATTATCCTACTTAGTAATTCGATTATTAAAGTTTACAAAGGCAATTGCCATTTGTGTCTTCTGAAAAGACTCACAGTAGGATGAGATCCCTCCATAGTTTCTTTCGTGAGAGATGTATCAATGACAGCCGTGACAGAGTTCTCCTCGATTCGAGCCGGATCAGCTGGTACTCTTTTCGCCATCGAATGCTTATTAAGCCATGGTGACTGGCTGAGGCCTACACACGAAAAAGAAACGTCAGAAAATCAGCATTTGATTCACTAGTTAAGAACCACAAGCAAAACATCCGCAGCGCATTCTCAGGATTACTGCATTGGCCAGTCCATGTCAATGAAAATCCATTTCTGATTTATAAATACACCCCAACTGAACTTCTACCCAAATTAGCCAGCATTGATCAGGTCCAAAGCTTTTCTCAATTACAAGATACGCCAATGCGCATAGAATACGGAGACGACATCAAATACCGGTCTCGACCATTATAAGATCAGTTGTACTTCGCATCTCTTTAACTGGTGTAAAAAATTAAAAAAAGAAGAAAAAATTAAAAATGAATAAAAACCAATAATATATATTTTTTAATAACCACCAAAAGAAACTCAAGATTCAAACTCAGGATAGAGATTTAGGCTCACGTAGACATAACTCAACCTTGACAACACTAAAATAGACTTGGAAAAATAATCACACCAGGCCGAGAATAGAAACTGTTGTCTAAGTCTCTCCTGCGGCTGCTGCTGCTGCTGCTGCTGCTGTTGTTGAAGTTGTTGTTGTTATCATCGTCGTAGTCCCGACTACTAAGTTGCTCCGGAATGACAGACATCTTCGACATGGTTGCTGCCCTTTTGAGAAGACAAAAACTTCTTCCGCCGTACGAACAGGCCTCACAAGAAAACAAATCTACGCCCTGGCCCCCATAAAAGCCAACTCCACGCTCACCCCACCCCACCTCTCCGCCAACGAATTCAAACGCTACCAGCGCTATCACCTCGGAAACCACTCACTGGCGCCTCAACCCAACCTGCATGCCAAAGCTACCGCGTCGCTCACCGTGCTCACCCTGCCCGATCCCACCCTCACACTCACCCTCCTCCTCGTATCTCAAGCTGCATGAAAACTCACACCTCTCACCGCCAACAAATCCACACACAACTGTACAACCCGATTCCGCCTCTCACTCTCGCATCCAAATGCTCAATCCCTCACCCCCACACCTCCGCCAACAAATCCATCCCCACACACTCTTCTCTTCCTCTTCGTCCTCGTCCTCGTCCTCCTCTCACGCTGCGAGATTAAGCAGCTGAGCTTGGAATTGAACCCAGTAAACGCACGCATGAACAGATTAAATACAAAAAGCGAGGCAGACAAGCATTCAAGACCCCATCCCAGCAGCAGAAAGCCGATGGAAAGAAGAATCACCCTCCTTACTCGTCCCAATTTTCCGTCGCCATCATCGGACGTCCGTCGAGGACGAGGACGAGAAACGGGGGAGCAAGCAAAGCCATGCACCAGATCTTAATACGCACGTGCGTGGTATATACAGGGGCCCTGGGGAGCAGGGGCGTTCGTTGTTCCCCGACGCCGTTCCCAGTTCCGTGTTCCCCAACGTTCTCTTCCCGGCGGTGGTAGTAGGGAGTAGTTGATCAACACTATGCTAGGTTATTTGAGCACGCCGGGGCTATTTTCGGGTGCAGCGGGTCCCGGGGGCCATCAGCCCGCGATTTGGACCGTGGGCCCCTTTATGCCACGGTATGAGACATGTATAGGAGGACCGACCCCAACTACTGGGCCCGAACTCGGATTGTGACTTCACCCGCTCGGGGCACGGGTGGTGGCGTGGTTATAGGATCGTTTCTGGTCCCCACGCTGGTGTAGTGTCTGAGACCGTGGTGCTCTTTTACCGTGGGAAAGCTTTGGAAGGGGGGGGGGGTGTGTCTCTCTTTGGTTGAGAATTGACCAAATAGTGGGGTCCAAATGTTGTTTAGGTTAAATTTTTTTTGATGAATACAATAATAAAATTACGATTTCTATATTAAATTCTCATATAAACAATAATAACTTCCAAATTCAACAACTATTACTATCAGTAAAATATGACAAAAAAAATATAGATGTTAGGAATGAGGTTATATTTCTCTCTCTCTATATATATATATATATATATATGGGAAGTTATTAAAGCCAACTCCAATTTTGATAAAGCCACACTTCTTTGTCACTTCATGATTCATTCTATAGATATTCCTTGTCACTCATCCTATTTCTAATTCCCATTCCCACCTTATTCCAATAATACACATACTTTGAAATGCCTTTCTAGTATAACTTAGCTTGCTCAAAGGAATACCTTGGTTTCATAGGATTCTTCAATATTTGCTTCAATACCACTTTGTCTAATATAAATATATTTTGGATCAAAATTAATTAATTTTTTTGGACATCCTAATCTAGTATCAAAGACAAGAATCTAATGAAAGCAAATAATCAAGTGAGATTTTTTTAAAAAAAATATAATAAAATAGAAATAAGAAAATATGCATATTAAAAGAAATTGGAATAGCTATTGCCAAAAGATAAGAGAACTAAAGACTCTTGAATCTAGATTAGAACAAGAAAGGGATTGATAAGAGTGAAGAAGGCTTCATTCTTGCTTCTATATATACTATCTACCTAGGAGCTACATGACAATGTTCTATAGGATGTCCAACATATGTTGACTTTGTAAGCCACATGTCTTAACTTGCAAGGCAAGTTTTCTATGTTTGTGTCATATAGTTAGCTTATTCCACAAGCTATCCATACATGTGATACATGGCTAACTTGTTGATCAAGTTTCTAATCTAAAGTCAACTATAAACTTGTGTTAAGTCGAACCATATCTACATAACTTCTATGAAGCTTCCCTGGAAGATATTATGAAATTAATCTATTTTTATTTACTTTTACCTACTTCTTTCCAATCATATACATAATTATTAGAGTAGATATATATGTCAGTGATATCCAAAGATAATCAAGTAGTTAAGTATTTCAAAACAATAATATTTGTAATAATCATCATTTCTTGTAGACCACACCATTAATTAGGATACAACACTTACCACCAAAGTACAAAAGACTATGGGCCTCCTTACACATTTGTACCACACACAATTTCAAATTTATACTACTTTAAAATTATGCTATTTATAATCCTAATCTATACCCTATTTATGTTACAAAAATCTTGTTGCATACTTCAAGAACTGTTCACCACTATAAAGTAACACATTCATTCTAACTCAAAACAAAAACATAAACTCAAGCAAATTCATGCATATTAGTTGGCTTCAAAATCCATATGCAAAATCTCACAATGTTGCAAGATTTTAGGAAATTCATTTTAATTATATATTAAAGGATATAAATTTCAATATTATTTCATAGATCCAAAAATACTCACATCTCCACTATTGAAAATTTTAGTAGAATTAGTAAGTGTTTACAATTTGAGACGTGCAACCTATAATACTAGGTAGTATACAAAGTTTGAAATTCAAAAGAAATGAGTATAGAATAAGTGAGCAAGGATCATCCACTTGGATGCCAACTCTCCCTTATTCTTTCATATAATCCATATTCTGTCAATTAATCTTTGGCTTTTGGTTATGAAGCATGGTGCATAATTTCCAAGTGTATATAATGCTAGTCTGAAGATGCAATATAAGGTACAAACATAAGGTGGTAGCTTCAAAACTAGCATTTATATCGAATGGCTATAGGTTTAATAGAAGGAAAATTTAAACAAAATAACACTTGCTACTATGTATCCTCTCTTTACAATTTTGAGCAGATTTTCTTAACAAGGTTGGATTTGATCCATGGCTTGGCCACCAACTATTGGAGCTCTTAGATTGAATTCTATTTTTTTTTATTTTTTTTCCTAATGGCTTCTTTTAATTCCATCAAAAGTTGATGATTGAGGTACTTGCATTGTGTACAAGAACCTTGGCAAGATGTTTACGTGCGGCAGCTGCACAAGTTTGTAACTAGGGCGACATTGCAATCAAAGTGCACATATGTGCAAGGCTTTTTGAGAAGATAGACCAAAAGGTAATAATCAATGGAATTATTGTATCTGATTCAATAAGTCAACATCATGCCTTTGTGATTGCTATTGATTTATTCTAAACCCAATATCTATATTACCATGTGCAAGGTTCTCATCCTTCTACATAGACTAGCTAGTATACAAGTGGCTCTAAAAGTTGGCAGCAATTAAGGATTTGTAAAAATCTAAGCATTGCCATGCACGGCATTAGCAGAACAATGTCCAATCCTTTGCTAGTAGAGATTAAATTACTATACTAAATTATATCTTATATTGAATATTCAATAAATTAGATTATTTAAAAATAAGCACAAAGAAATTCACAATTTTTGAAATCTAAATTAAGAAAATAACATCTTATAAATTATATGTTTATCTTTTTTTAAAATATGTATTTTTAACATATAAAAAAATGGTTAAATATACATGTGTGAATATACATACACATTTGCATTATTGATTTAAAACATATACTAAGATGTTTTTAAAAAGAAAATATTCATGGAATCTTACTATGAATGTTAAATATTATAGATTCAATTGCAACAAATCATTTTCTGAAAATTTATCCAAAAACTATTATATTAAATACAGGAGTCGAATATACACTCCTTATTGAGGTATGCATTGATATTATCAAGAGTAAAAACTAAATACCTGTGATGCAGTGGGTGAGCAAAACAATGTGCAGTTTGCATCAAAACTTATCATGCTCATTGTAACAGCACAAGAATTAAAACAAGTGCTCTATTTCAGCGAGAAATCAAGAAAAGCACCATCATGTATAATCGAACAAGTGAACATAACATCCATGGTTCAACAAAGACGTGCGCTATTTGATTGACTAGGTTGAAACTACACAGAAATTCAAACAGCGCTACAGAGAATTTGTGACCGCGGTTTCACTCAACTGCCCCAGATATAATTTTCATGTTATATGTGCACAAGAACATGTAAAACTCCAATTTTCTGGATCTGAATTCTGTACAGTATCGAAGCCGGTTGTCAGTTACTGTCACATGAAGCAAACATATCAAAGAAAAGAAAGAAAGAAAGAAAAGACCTAAAAAAAGCAACCTAAAAATATGGAAGAAGGGAGAAAGCAAGAAAGAAAAAGAAAAAGAAAAGAACGAAAATCCCTACTTGTTTCTAGTCATACTATGTTTACAGTCTGTTATGTACTCAGTGTTACTGTCTGCTTTCTATTCTATATGTTGAGACAAGTCATGAATCTTTTTCGGCACCTAGAATTGCCATCTACTCATCAGCAAATCTGAAGTGCCTTAGTGTGTCAAACGTCATGAAAGTCTGATGAGCTGAAGTCTTTCGTCATGCAATAACAGCTTCCTGTCTTTTCGAAACACCAGTAAGAGTATTTCTCGCAAAATTTAAGCTCTTCTTCATCACTTCGCAGATTGCCCACGCGAAGAGTATCCATCCTGTCAAAGACAATGATTATTTGTTAATTGGGATTCCAAAGTAGAAACCTTTCTATAGTTGGCAGGGGATAAGACATGAAGCATTGTGAATTTAAGATGCACTCAGATGTGTGCCTTCATCTCGGTTTAAATTCCTGTCATAGTCTTAAAATGACAGCTTGTGCAGCATGCAATACCCATAGAACTTCGATAAAGCAATTCTGGCACAGCTAATCTAGCTCCAACGAAGTAATTTCACTTATGTAATATCACTGAACAAGAAGCAAACCTGTAAAAAAGAGCACCGTGCATGAAGTAACAACTACAGCGCTTCCTATGGCAAAAGCCGTTGCAGCTAGTGCTCCAATGTAGATGACTGTGAGTGATGTACAGAACATTGCCAGGAATGCACCGACCGCTGATAGGGACATAAGGAACCCGATGATCACCGCGTTAACCGTTGCCACCAGAACAACCATCAAAAGTGCCGTTAAGCCAGTCAATGCTGTGACAGATATCAGTCCTACCTGAGATAAAATGCAGATATATTAGAAGTTCAGACCTAGAAGTGCATGGTAACACATGATGGGTCAGAAATAATTTACTTCTGTGCAACATGAAATAAACAGAATACGTGTAATACTCGAGAGCAATAACAATACTCTAGCAGGAATAAAAGCATATTAGAGTGCTAAACCGCACTGAGAAACAAAATATTTCTACTTAATTAAGTGAGAATGACACAGAAGTAGATATAATCCGCATTTTTTGGATGACCGATTAGCATAATTAAGGTGTAGACTGGGTTGGCTCAAAGATTGGTGTTAAGCAGTTAGGAGCCAGTAATTTGAGACTCTTCCTGGTTAACACAAGGTGAAACTTGCCACAAGAATCATAACGAAAGAAAAATCCGCAAAGGAACTGAACATAATCAATAATCGTAGTTATCTACGATCGCCGTAAGACTACCACGTTTCTGTGCATTGAACATATGAGGTGCTACAAGGTTCCAAACCGCAATGATCATATCACATGAAACAGGAAAATTCTCGCTCATCACTAAAAACTACTCCGGGAGCAGGCACTTCCTCAATCACGAGAAACGACATCTCAATGACTACGGAAACAAAAACGGATGACCTTACAATTCGAAAACTCACAAAAAACGTGGCAGCAAAAAAAGAAAAAGATAAACAGGAAGGTAACATCACGATACACGTACCGACACAACGAGCAGTGTTCTCCAAAATCCACCCTGATGCATCCACTGCAAGACATCCGCACCGACCCGATGCACGGCCTGTTGCAAGCGCGGGGCGTGCGATGTCACCGCCCCCTCCAATCGCTCTGTGAGCGGCTGCTTCCCGCGGCATCCAATTGCGCCCGCAATATCCACCACCATGTCTCCCAGCACCATCGCCAGCTTCTCCGCATTCCGAACCGTCGACTTCATCGTGCCCACTCCCTCATCGAGATTCCGCTCCACCAACACCAGCGCACCCCTCTCCTCACCATTCTCCCCTCCCATTCCCATGCCGCAGCTCCTTTTCCCCCCCTCTCCGCTTCGTCACCAGCACTCCCTCATTCAAACCCTAATCAGGCAATCAACTCCCAAAACTTGCAAAAACAACACACACACACACACACACAAAACGCAACCAAGCAACCACCATGCACACTGAAACGGTGCCTGGGCTTGCATTTGGTAACCAATGAGCAAAATTCTCAAAGGAAGTAATATACAGAACTCAGGTAATTAAGCGATTAATCACGACATGGGCTGCACGCAGAAGCACCAGACGGAATCGAGGACGAGGACGATGACCATGCGAGAGGCATGGGAAGGGAAAACAGAGCTTGAGCGCATGCAAAGCACGGCATCGGAGTGGGTTTGCCTCCTCATTGGCTAAACTCCTCTGTTTTCACACGTGGCTGGGGCTCTATTCTATCTGCTGGCGTGTGCGTGCTGACTGGTCGGGGTCGGTGATGGGCTTGGCTCCCCTTCCCCTCCCCCCGGTTGTAAGTTACTTACTATTCTCTCACGTGGCAAGGATTGTTTTGAGAGTAGTTAGTTGTTTGCTTTTCCTCTTGCAAGAATTCCTCCGTTTTATAAGGTAAGCAACGTCTGAGAGCCTTTTTTTTTTTTTTTTTTTTTTTTTTTGTTCTGTATACATATTATTTTTTAATAAAAAAATTATGGTTTTTCATGTGGATTTCAAACTTTAATTATACACTAGCATATGATGTTTTTGCTTTGGGAGTAATATGTTCAAGCAAGTGATTATGTGTGGGAGAATATGATGTAACGATTAATGACAATGCAAACATTGTGGTAAGCATCACACAAACATGTTTCATTCATATCATAAAAATAATAATAATAATAATACAAAAGTTATAAAAAATACATAAATATATAATAAAATAATAATAAATAAATAAATAATAAAATTATTTATGGAAATGAAGAATAACTAATCTTTTGTATTTGGAAAATCTAAAAAACATCAATTTCCAATGCATGTACATGAATCCTATGGTTTTCATTTGTGATATAATTTACAAATTTTTATGAATAAAAAGTAAAGTTTAACTAATTCAAGATAAGTATTTATTGGTTTTTTTAACACAAGTTTATTCTAAAAGCAATCATTTAAAAACTCTATTATCATTATTAATAATTTTAAGCACTTTAAAGTTTAATTATTTTTTGGTAATTATGCAAAGTTTATTTATTTGTTCCTTAGGTCTTATTCCATTCCAAAAATAATTATTGGTGATTTGATATTTTAGACTTCAAAAAAAACATACCTACATGTTTTGTTTTATTTTTATATTCATAATCACATATTTATGATTTAATTTTTAATTATATAATAATATATTAGATAAAAAATTTAGACAAACATTGTATTGTATAGTGATGGAACAAAATAATAATAATAATAATAATCATGAATAGCTTTAATAAAATTTTCAATGTATGCTTTAAAATTGGTTTTTCTAGTTTGAAATGATTAATCAAAACTGAAATATTTGGTCATAATAAAATTGGTTTTTCTAGTATATGCTTTAAAATTGGTGTACTTAGAATTGACAGTTGATTTGACCAAGAGAGCTGCAGCTGCTGGCCCTACCTTCTGCTCACTTAGAGGAATTGTCCCACTACTTTGTCCCGCATGGCAATTTGTGTCAATACTTGTTCATGCACAATGCATCGAACAGCATTGTACATCTGATCGAACTCCAAACGAAATTGCTCTTAAAACCAGCACAGCCATCAATCCTTTGTTCTCTCTCAGATCAGAAAACTCCCAATCTCCAGATCGGACGTGACAAACCTGGAGAGCGATAAAATGGCTACGCAGCGCCACTAATCCTTTACTGTGCAACTTAGTCATTGCCAAAAAACAACACAAAAAAACACAAGAGGTTGGTCGAAACAGTTTCTTTGAACTCTACTACTAAAGGATCGCTTTAGTTGGATGATCTGATCTGATCTTCAGTCTTTGGAAATCCCTCATTGTCAAATACTCCAGAACTTCCTACTGCGACACTAATATCATCTAGTCGTAACTGGTTTGGAGGGAAGGGTCTTCATTACATCCATAGGGTGGTAGTTGAGCTCTTTGAAGTCAGCTAGAAAATCAGAAAAAGCACTTCGGCGTCTGAGAATCGTCCAGCACTGTCTCCAGCACGGATTCGACCGAAAGCTGGTCGCCAAGATTGATTTTTATTAAGCCAAAAGCAGTAAAAGTGTCGTTGTTGGGGTCTTGACTACCATTGTCTAGGAATTTACAAGTCCCCAATGACCAAGCTCTTGCTCCATTTGTTGCACGTGTATCATTGAGTAAGTGCTCTTTGTGCTGCAATGTATTGTAGGCACATGTACCTCATCATGAGGTATTGTGTATAATCCAAGCAAGTTGTGAGAGTGCAGGAGTTCACAACTGTTGTAGAAAAGACCCACCATGTTGTGTACTTGAAGAAATAACACAAGACCCTTGATTGAGAATGTTCATGAGTTCATACTCTTTTCACTTCACTCGTACTTGTTGCTTATATATTTGGAATCCTGATTTGGAGTACTGCCATGGTTATCTGGCAGCCTCCCACTAGGACTCATTGGCCTCGTATTATTCTTTATTTTCAGTTGTTAATGACTGATGTTGAGTTGATTACAGTTTGATATATTTTAGCTCGCCTTATATAACACGTGCAAATCAATACATAAAATAAAATAGTTCTATTTTGGATTACTTTTGAATTTTATAGTGATTTAACCACTACTGTAATAAATGAACTAATGAATCAACTATTTTGATTTTATAAATGGTTTGTAATTTTAAAATATCAAGAAATATATTTGATTCTTTAATGGAACTATATATATACATACATTCTAATTATAAGTGTTGTTAAATATTCTAAACTTGTCAAATAATTTATAATCCAACTTAGTATTGGTACAAATCTTGCTAATATATTGATAGTTAAAATAGTGATATTAATTTTATTTTGGTTAGTACATTCATATAATTAAAATTAAATAACTATGAATATCAATTTTAGAAAAATTATTTAAAATTTTAACTTATACGATCAAACTTAATGGCTATGCTAATCTTAGATATCTTTTCTTATTGCTTAATAACATTTTGTAAAATAACTATGTGGCTAATTTTTTTTGTTTGTCATATTAAATTTATTTTATTTATTGCAATAAATATTTAAAATATTTTTAAAAGTATAAATCAAATTTTGTATTTAAATTTTTTATTATTATAATATATAAAATATTTCAATTTTTTATCTAATAAATGTTACTATAAATAAATAAGTAATTTTAAAAAATAAAATCTAAAAACCAAGTTAAAATTCTAATTTAGAAATAATAATGATTTTATTAAAAATAAATTATTAATTTGTTTAAAATTAATTATCTAAATTTAATTTAAAAAATGAATATATAATATTTTCTTTTTTTAGTAATAAATTAAATAAAATATGCTAGATTTTATTATTATTTTTAAGCAATTTCTTATTTTAAATTTTTAATCAATATCTATTCAAAAAATAATTGTAATATTTAGTATATTATATTATGAGTTATGAATATTACAATTTATAATACATTAAATTTTAAACTTTTCAATAATCAAGCAAGATAAAAATTTACTCAAATAAAAATAATAAAGATATTAAAATATTAAAATTTATTTTATTATTTTACAAAAACATGTATATGTATATGTATGTAGAATTGAATCTTTTTCAACCTACAATAACTACATGATATATCAAAGTAATAAGATGTTACGGATGTAATCAATACTTATAATTACCTAGATAAGAAGAGCTAGGTAGAAATAAATTATAGAAGATAAATTTGATAATATCTTGTAGACAAGCTTCTTAGAAACTTTATAGATTCGGATTTGATTCTATTCATATTTTTAGGTGATTAATACATTGAAAATTAAGCCAACAAATTGGCCATATATTACATGTATTAGCCACTTGTGATATAAGTTGGCCATGTGGTATATATATAGGAAACTTACCTTGCAAATTGGATTTGCATTGGAGGTCCTATAAAATATTGTCATATAACTCTTAATTAGATAATATTTATAGATGGCAAGAGTAAAGCCTTCTTTATTCTTATTAATGCCTTTTTTTATTTTTAATCTTATTTCAAGAGTCTCTAATCATTTTGTCTTTAGCAATAATTATTTTAGTTTTAATAATATATTATTTTTGAATAGATAATTATTTTTTTTAGTAACTTAAGAGTGTATTGATTCTTTGCTTCTTTATAATTTATTTTTTTATAGTTTTAAAATAATATATATATTTTTTTATATTTTTTTGTTTTATTTAGAAGTAAATAAGTTGCATCACTACTTATTGTTATGTTTTAAAAATTATAACTATCCATATTTAAATTAATATTATTATTTTTTAATATTTCTTATTTTTAGAGAGAATTAATTATCTTCATTTTTTGAAACTCTCATTTGATATTAGATGTTGTAGATTATTCTCTTCTTATTTGACTTATGGATTTATTGAAGTCATCTATTATAAAGATAAAAGAAAAAATTATGGATGCTAAATTTAATAAAAGTAAAAATAAATTATCAATTATTGTAGATCTTTACAAGCTTAATAACTTGACTCTTATATGAATTAACTTTATTTTTGAAAGTATAAGGTTATATTTAAAAAAATTGATTAAAAAAAGGTAGCAAAAATAAAACTCATATTTTTACTACAAGTATTATGATCAGCTTCCATATATGTTGTTAAATTCCAAAACCTTATTTGCAATATAAATTAGAATAATAAAGCCCTTATCAATCAATTTCAATATGGATTTAAAGATAATATCATAGTTTCATTATTAAAAATATTAAAAGAAAATTCATTTGAATAATTTATTGCTTAAATTATTACATGCAATAATTAACATTTTGAAAGATGTCAAGAATAATTTTTTGTTAGAGGAACAAATTAAGTCATGACAACAACTCTTAAGTTTTTGGAAACTAATTCATCAAAGCTATAACCTATTTAAATTGATACAATATGTTTTAAACTTCTTAATGAGCCATAGAAGACTTAATGTCATTAAAAAAAAAAAAAATCTGATATTATAGAGAATTTAAGCATATTTCTTAATTTTTTTCAAAGAACCAACACAACCAAAAATCAAAAGAATAGCTATTAAAGAAGAAAATATATCACAATTTTTTTAAATTTTTTTTAGATACAATGAAGATCATGCTGCTAGAATCATATGCAATATTTAGTAAAGATCTTATTTTTATTTTTTTAGAATCAATATCTTATTTTAAAATA